GGAATGAAGTTACCTTGAACACGTTAGCGTAGGCACAAAGAAAATTTGCACTAAAAAGAATCTCTGCTGTGCTCTGAATCATTGGTGTGGACATAGCCTAGGGCTCATTGATAAAAATACTGTAGAAAAGTTTGTAGGAAACAATATTTTACCTTTAGAGCGGAATCTGTAAAATATATTGTCAATGAAGTGTGAAACCACGTGTTCAGTGGAAAAAAAATTATCAAGTAGTGCTTACAAAGAAAGCACTGAAACTGGTAGAAATGCTCTGTTGGCAAGGGGGCGGGGGATGATCAGGTACTGGCATGTTCACAGCAGAGACAAATGCAGAGGGCAAAATAAAACATTTGTTTTCTTTAGCCACTGTAATTAAAATCACTCTGCAAATTGCTAGGCTAAGAGTGCCTAAATGGTAAATTACTGTTGTTCAGATGATAGGATCAACTGTCAAATGGTGGTAGATGTGTTACTTCTGACTGAATGATTATATCGGTTGACTTCATAACCTCAGTGTTATTTTAAGGCTGGCTTGTTTTTTTTCTATAAAATGTAATCTTACTCTAAACAGATATTAATTCCCATAGATTCTTCCACATCCTGTTCTTGTTACTTAAAAAATAACTTCTCTCCCTCAACAAAGAGGGGGGCAACTCTAGTAAGCTTTTATAATACTTGATGCAAGAAAGTAATCAGATTAATCAAAACAAATTAATAATTACAGTACAGTTGTAAAAATGCTCTGATACTTGAAAATAAAATCCTCTTATAGCGCCGTTACTTGGCTGTTACTATTTTCAGATCTATTTGTATGATTAGTCTGTGAATGTGAAACCAGAGACTTGAAAGATGATGCAGTGTTTAGAACAAAGGAAAGAATGAAAGCTGGATCAGTTTCTTAAGGCATTATTCAGTTACTTCCTTAGCTAATAGCCTGGAATCAAGGTTTTGATACAGATGGATGACTGAGGCAACCCATCACTTTGTGCTTTCCTTTGCTACAAATATGCTTGTTATTTATATATTCTTTTTAGCAGTATTTGGTGCATGGTAGTATGAAATGCTCTCTTCTAGTACTCTGCTTATCTTTTTACAGAGCAGTTGCTAGTTGTGCACTTCTGTGTTGAAAAGTAATTGCTTTGATATTACGATTTGTTACTGCACTGATTTTTCTTATTTTTGTGTATTCTACTGAAGTGCATCTGAAAATTGCACAAGAGTTTTCTTGGTTTTTTTTTTTTTTTAATTATTTATTTATTTAATAAATCTCCAAAACTTAAGCATTACTATCTTTACAAAATTATCCTGATGACAGAACAGCTTTCTGGTCCTTGTGACTTCTTACTGAGAATGAGACATGGCTTTTTAGCCCCTGTGTTCTAGGACTCTTTCCTGGGGGATGTGGTGGCATTCAGGCTACTGAAGCCTCTTATTCTTCCTGACTTAATTTTCCAGATTATCTTACTGCAGTTTCGTATGGCTTGTTGCTTTCTGTAGCAATTGATCACAAATGGCAATGAACATGTTGTTTTCTAGTTGTCAGAGATTCCAGTCTGAGGTATAACTCTTCATCTCTTCCCACTAGTGAAGGTCCTCATGACAGACATTTTCCTGGAAGAAGGAAGAGGAAAGTTTACTCAGACTTAACCTTGCTCAAGGTCTGTGATGGGTAAAGAAACAAACCCTTTACAATAAAGCTTTTGAGCTTCAATTGATTATTAATATATTCTAGATGTTTCTTCCACGCAAGATGATCATGTATGAAACCAAGGACAGCCAACTTGCCAGCTATATAGTGCATCGATATGCAAAGGAATACGTCTCATGATCTGTTAAGAAGCAATGAAACTTTGGGATGAAGATACAGCCCAATGAGATAGTTCCAGTGATTTGATTTTCCTGGCTCTTGCATTTCTTTTCCAGATGGTCTTAGGAGGTCCTTGAATCTGGATTCAGGAGTGAGGCTTTACCTCAATTGCAAACAGCTACTGGTGAATGATTCTAACAGGGCCAAGCAGAAATTCCATGAGGGGGAGCTTAGACTAGAGACTTCCTGAGGTCCTTTCCAGCCTGAATTATCTCGTAATTCTGCATACAGGTCTGAATACAGGTAAAAGTACGTTGTGAGGGCTAACCACTAGAGGGAGACAAGATCATAAGGAATAAACAAATATAACGCATAGATGTAAATTAGACATGCTTATAGTATAACGCTTTGTAGGTCTATGCAATTACATTACAAAATGTGCGCCTCCCCCTCCCCCCTGGTGTATTTAAATGAAAATAGAAGTAAGTACTTGAAATTCTGCAGGGCAGTGCATTTAAGCACACACAACTATCCACAATGCAATTTGTAATGCATGAATGATGTGGTGGTTCTTTAAAACAACCTCCACCTTCTTAAACCCCCAGGAATATTTTCTTCATCAGTCAGTTGGTTACATTTGGTTTTGATGTTTTATTTTCTCATTTGTTTGAGATTTTGGGGGTTGATTTGCAGCTAGATTTTTTTTTTTTTACTTGCTCCCTTTGTACTGGGTAATGGTGCCTACTATTTTGGGAACATATTTTGATTCAGAAATCAGAAAAGTATCTTTATTCTGTCACATGTTTAATTATAATTCTATAATTGATTGTATTTTGCTACTTTTATTTTTGAATTACTAAAACTTTACAAATCTGCAGCCTAGAGTGACATGTTGAACAAGCTACAATTTTTAAACATCTAAGAGAGAAAGATATAAGTATAATTGAAATTCTTCTCCATAGATTAAAATCTGATCTTTTTTTAATTGCACATCAGTAGTACTGTAATGGAAAGAGATGGCTAGGCTTGAATTCTCCTGAGATATATAAAGGCTACTATAAAACTTTAAGGAAATGTTTACTGTCTTCTAGGATATGTTAAAAA